TCTCTCTCTCTCTCTCTCTCTCTCTCTCTCTCTCTCTCTCTCTCTCTCTCTCTCTCTGTCCTGTTCCCTCTGATGTCGCTCTGCTGAACTTTTGCATTTTGCGAGCCGACGGCCGTGTGACTTTCAGCTCGCGTTGTAACGATGTTTGAGTTTTAGCAGCGAGCGAAACCTCTATTTGTATTAAGCTCACGTGAATATTTTACCCGAGTCGGTAATTTTGCACGAAATTTGAGGTACGTCGACTCGATTCCAAAAGAATTGTCTTTATGACTCGTGTAACTCGCCGGTGAAGTACAATCCGCGCGTCGGAATATCCCGATGTCACTCTCTTTCTCTCTCTTTTTGTCTTTTTGTCTCGTTCCTTCCTGATATCGCGATCATTCCAGTGAACTTTTGCACTTTGCGAGTCGGTGATCGTGCGAATCCACTATATGTGTCAGACTTACACGAATACTTTGCCCGAGCCGGTAATTTCGTGCGAAATTTGAGGTACGTCGACTCGATTCCGAAAGAATCGTCTTTGTGACTCGTGTAACTCATCGGTGAAGTACAATTCGCGCACTGAAATATCCCGACGTCACCCTCTCGTTCCTTCTTGCTGTCGCGATCATTTCAGTGAATTTTTGCACTTTGCAAGCCGGCGGCCGCGCAAATCCCCTACATATGCCAGGCTCGCGCGAATATTTTACTCGAGCCGGTAATTTCGCGCGAAATTTGAGATACATCGACTCGATTTCAAAAGAATCGTTTTTGTGACTCGTGTGACCCTTCGGTGAAGTACAATTCGCGCACTGAAATATCCCGACGTCACCCTCTCGTTTCTTCTTGCTGTCGCGATCATTTCAGTGAATTTTTGCACTTTGCAAGCCGGCGGCCGCGCAAATCTACGTATGCCAGGCTCGCGCGAATATTTTACTCGAGCCGGTAATTTCGCGCGAAATTTGAGGTACATCGACTCGATTTCGAAAGAATCGTCTTTGTGACTCGTGTAACTCGCACGAGTGAAGTATAATTCGCGCGTCGAATATCCCGACGTCACCCTCTCTCTCTCTTTCTCTCTCTTTCTCGCTGTCGCGATCGCCCCGTCGAATTGTTGCACTTTACGAGCCGGCGGCCGCGCGCGATTTTCAGTTCGCGTTAGCAGCGATTTTTGAATTTCAACGGCGCGCAAATCCCCTACATATGCCCATGCGAATATTTTACTCGAGCCGGTAATTTCGCGCGAAAATTTTGAGCCGCATTAAAACGCGACAGGCGCGTGATTATGTGCTCAACGAGGGCAATTTTATCGCGTAGCGCGATTTCCCTTGGCAAATCCCAAATGACATAACAAAATAAATGCAAAATCGCTTTGAGCACTCGAAAGGTACTCTCGAAACGAAATATGATGCAAATGCGAGGATTTATGCGGCTTCCATGATATTTCTCATCGAAAGCCATTTCATTTCCGAATCGCGGTGCTTTCCTGTCGAACGCGGGACCGTCATTGTTTAAAAAAAAACCGCCGGAACGATCGAGAGACGAGCGTCGGCATCTCAATGGTGAATTCGCACAAATCACCGGCAATCGACACGCGCGAATGTTACGCTGCGATCGTCTCGATACGTTCACGGCCTCTACGCAATTTGTCATAGTAATATTATCGTTATGCGTCGCATTGCGCAGGTGTGACATGTCATATAATAGCCACGCGACGCTTAACGGTAGCGATATTGTCATTAAAAGTTGCAGAACAATGAAACCGGTCGAGAGAAATAGCTCAAGTTTCATTACTGTCAAGACTTCAACGAAAATTATACCCGAGAGAACATTACAGTCTTTTCTCATGTAAATTCTTTCCAATTTCTTGCCACGTTTTCTCGTCAGTAGAGTTCATGTCACTTAGAAGCATAGTCTATCTTTTTTGACCTAAGGATTCTAAGGTCTGTATTAAGTATTGCTATTTGAAGCTTGTTTCAAGTGAGATTTTCAGATTTGAATTTAGAGTTAGATGTGAGTTTTTCAGGAGAACAGCGATTACGAATGTAACGTTACATATATCAGACGGTTTATCTGGAAAATTTTCATCTAACTCTAAATTCCAATTTGAATATCTTACGTGAGACAAGTCTCAAGTAACGACTATTAATACAGACCTAAAATAGCATCCATGAAACGGGATAATAGCGAGTGAAAGCGTACAATGTTAAGATATGCTCTCCGGTTACAAAATTCTGTAAGTAATTGCTGCCGTAAAATTCTCCTTGTGTATAAATCGCGTAATACAGCCCAGGTGTGACCGGAAGTTATGTTGACAAACGGTGTGATCATCGGCTCGTTGAGTGTAACAAAGAGTCATTAAAATGGTAAGTGTCGTGCAACTCGCAATGTTATACCGCTCGATTGACTCGCATTCGAAGCCGCTCGCGATAGACTTCGACTTATGCGTGCTTACCTGATTTTGGGCGTTTTGCTCGGCCATCGCCTTCTCCTTCGCTTGCCTCTTGCACTTGTACCGGTGATTCTGGAACCATATCTTCACCTGCACACACGAAACGCAACAATTGAGTCTTCACCGAACATGGAGCGGATATTTAAAGCCGTATTCTGGACGCGCAGCGAACGCTAAATGTGCCTTTTCAGTTCTCAGGCTGAAACAACGTCACGCTCACATCAGACAAGTGCAACTTAAAGTGAGAAAGGCGTATTTAGCGTTCGCTTAGCGCCCAGAATGAGACCTCTGATTCGGTGCATTCAGTATCAGCATGTAACGCGGTCTAAGTTCGCCCAGCTTGCTGGAAACTCTCATAAACTCTCACTATCGTCGGACTGTGTATTCCGACAAAGCAATCTTATCTTTTACATTCGCATGTATTTGGTGTATATTAGAACGAATTAGGTTTTACTTGACTATATAAAGAACGAGAAGCTTTTGCTAACGTTCCGATACAAGTAACTCGTTACCTCGGATCTGTGTGTCTCGAATTTTTTATACGCGAAACTCTTCTTTTTTATACCAAAATAAGATTGCTTCGACGAAGCAGGAAATTACGATCGAAATACCGAGAAACCCAGTGCCCAAGTCTCTTCAAATTTTAACTCTCTTAAAATGAATCAGTGAATAGTCACATATCAGTTATAATTATAGCACTGAGCAGTTTCTGTGCTATACTTATAACTGCAAATCAGTGTATATTCACTGCTTTCAATGATGTTTCACTGATTCACTTTAAGAGAGTATTAGGCTCGAATATCGCTTTAAATGCGAGTGTTCTGCAACAGTGTCATCATCATCATTTTTGTGTTAGAACAACCATAAAAAAATGGTTGTTCATGATTGGGGCCAAAAATAACTATAATTTTGACTAGATCAACCGGCTGTTTACTCTCAGTGCACGGACAGGACGAGGCGCGTAATGCCTGGGACGCTCCGCAAATAATAGTTTCGCGGCCAAAGCCGAAAATCGGCGGCATTGAGTCGCTCTTACGTCGGTATAAAACGGGTGACACGTTTCGTGCGCGACTATCGGCCAGGTAGGCCGGCGAATGTTTTTCCAGAGGCACACAGCGACGGCGACGGCGAGCCGCTTTTGTCAGACGTACTTTTCAACCAGGGGCCTCTGAGCCATTCTCGATCCCCTAAATCCGTAATTCACGGTTAGAAGTCTGTGTTATTTCTTCGAGAGGGATTTAACGCGCCGTTCACTTTACCGGGACGCTCGACGCCGCTCGAGAGAAGGAGATAATACGAATTTTACGTCGCGCCAGGGAAAAAGAAAAGAGAATCACCGGGAAACTCCGCTCCGTCGTTGAATCATTGCGCGGGAGCGTCGCTCTGCGAAAACAATCTCGTTAGATTACTCGATGGCGATTTGTGTTTGCTTGATATTTAGGAAGTCGTTTCTCGTGAGTCTCGTCCGCGAAGAGATTGATATTTCGCATCTGTCGTGCCTCGAGATCGCAATTTCATTTGTTATCTCATATCATTGACTTGTATAACTTCACGGCACCTCGCGGCTTGTTTATAAATCTTATGACAAATTCACACGTAAAATGGAACTTTCCGCGGCGAAAGCGTTGGGAGAAGATTGATCTTTTGCGACATAATAATAATATCAATGATGATCGTATCGCTACAATAAAGTGCTATTCGTTAAGAATTACGGATAAAGTATGAAAGAAAAAAAGTGCAAATATCATCAAAAAGTGAGGCAATAGCTCAGTTGAAGCTGTTATTAATATTATAGCTCAACCGGATCGCACTCGCTTGTCATTCTTTGTCAACCCGATTGTTTCAAATAGAAACGCACAAAAGTGAACATTTATAGACAAGATTCGCTTATGAATTTTCATTTCTGAAGTGCAAGAAATCCTCGACGTTATTCGGCACTCGTTCAACGACACCGATCCCCAGTTAAGATTTAAATCAGCCGACAGGATGTGGTCCATTGTTTTCGCGGTTGGACGACAATGCAGATGCGATCAGGCCGCCTCTGGTCCGGCCACGCATTATGCGTACAGCGCGCGGATTATAACGCGCTCCTGTCATAAGCAGATGTCGATCCCGATTCCGTCCACGCGGTTGCACAGCCTTCTCCCCAATCGCTTAGTTCAATTGCCGTAAAAGCATTCTCACACACGGCCCTGATCGCGCGCGCATGGCTGCTCTTACCGAAAACTAAAATTTGTCGCGTTACGGATCTGTCAGCATCAGATCAAAATTTATCGGCGTGACGTTTGTCGTGCTAAAATATAATCACACGTGATACTTTAATAAGTAATTTAGAATCGTGTAGATTTAGGTATTCGCGGCATTTTTTAAGTTGAATCTTTCGACTAAAAGCTTCTTTTTATTAATTTTTCTTCTTTAATTATTAATTAAATAATTAGAGAAAATTGGCGGATGGTTATACTCGCGATAATATATTCATATTCTCAATAAGAAAAAGTCTACGAAGTTATTAGGAAGAAGATAGAGAACTTTTCCGTTCAGTTTGACTTAATGCACAAGCACACGACGGCAGATGTCGCCACTACAGCTCACCTACCATATTTTGCGTAATCATTCACAAATTTTAATATCTCGATAATTATTGCGAATATCGCAAAACGGCATAGGACTTTTATGTTCATCTCAATCCGTACTATGTCTCCGCGGAGCTTCGGAGATTGTTCTGGGAAACTGTATATATTACACGATTCGCGAATTAAAAACTCGAGTCTCACTCTGAATTCCAAGTGTCTCGTCGTCATTTTGGCCTGAGCGAGTTTTATCGTTCGCGTTGCCGACCGCGATTGCGGAGAGTGCATATGTTACCGCATGTAACCTCCTCTCGTGGAGTGGCTGTTGCGCCCCCGTGTTCCCGAGGCGATGTAGCCCCCCCATTGTCGTAGCTGCGTGCGTCGGGAATGCAACGAAAGCACTTTAAGGGGAGCATCCAGCCGACCGTGTCTCGAGGACTCGCCACCGTCTGTCTAATTCTTTGAATATTAGCGGGATCGGCGGCCACCCTCGAAAATACCTTCCACCCCTCCGGAGTGCCGCCTGCAAGCGTGGGCGGTCACCGGTTAGTCGTTTCGTCGCTGGTGCGCGACCCCGAGATCGATTATCTCGTTCTCTTCGTTACTGCATCGTCCACGCCTTCAGGACTCAAGCTCGTGTCGTGGTCTGCACGTGGTTAGGTTGGATCTCGCGAAACGATCGACGGGAGCACTTTCGTGACTCGCGCGGTGTCAAGATGTGAATTTGCGCGACGACGACGATTGATGATTGACGCTCTTGTTACGATTAATACTCTCGACTCGGCTGCGTTAGAGTTCTACAGATTAACGTAATAAATTCAAATGTAACGCAACGCGATTATTAGGATCTTGCAGTCAAAGGCATTATTGATTTATTATTTATATCCAGGAACAAATGTGTGCACGATGATCGTTCACGATGTTTTCCACTGACTCTACATCCCGACACGATCCGACTTCTTTCTTCTTCCTTGCACTGCGTTGCCCGTATTGTTTCTCCAATTCATTCAGGATCATCGTTAAGGGCGACAAGCCACGCGAATTCATGTTAAGGAACATTGCCGCGAGAGGAGGAAGCACTCGCAGCCCTTCCCGTGTCGCCGTGTGAGTTTTTACGTGCGCTTTGTGGTGCGGCCGTTACGTAGGGGGCGAGAGACCTTATCTAAAAGCCACGAAGAGGTACTAGACGAGGGGAAGTACTCTCTCGCCGCTACCGTTCGTTAATTCCTTTTCTACCGATAATCCACTCGTCGAAGCTTGTCGAGTTTCGGCCGCACAGTGCGCGCGCGCGCTCTCATTCCGCGTCGCGACTTGGAGTGATCTACAAATAGCCGTTTACTTCTGCGCGTGAACTTACTTACGGCTCGTTGTACGTGACGTTAATCTCTTGGATACACACGTGCGCGAAAGACTTCCATTCGCTGTCGAATCCTCGAATTAATAACCGAATTAATCCCTCGCGTTAGCATTTAATTGACGCTCACGTGGAACATGTGCGTCTATCTAAGAGACTTGACGCTCAGACAGAAGACAAGAAAGATGAAGAGAGATTCAAAGTACGTGTCTGACGTATTGATAGTCTTTACTTGAACTTTGCCTCATGTGAGATACTCGGACTCAGAGTTGGATCTGAGTTCTCTATTTGAGTCGATATACATGACATTGTGGCTAGTGTTAATAATCGTTACTTGGAACTCGTCTCACCTGAGCTACTCAGAATTCAGAGGTAGACTTTTCAGTTTGGATCGTAAGATGTATGCGCATCAGATTTGTAATCGCGACTCAGCTGGAAAGCTCACGACCAGTTCTAAACTCAAATGTATCTCACTCGAGACAAGTTTCAATTTCGGGTCGATTTAATCTGCAGCACGTCTGACAAACGTGATTCCAGCGCGAGGGGTTAATCGATCGCCGCCTCTGACTTTTCTCGCGAGAATAGCTAGACCGAGACCAAAAGGCGAAACTGAACGCACGTCGCGTCGCGTCAATAACGCGCGAATCGCGCATTGTTATCGCACCTTGTACCTTGAACCCAAGCGCGAATAAAGGTCCGAAGGTTGCGAGAGATAGGTCGGACGATGGAAACGGGACACGCCGGAGTCGTGCCGACGGCGCAGCGAATTGTTATTTCAAGGGAACCGACGCGTCCGTCAGTCCGTTTGTCTGTCACTCCCGGCAAGAGATGCGGTGTGTAAACAGGGAAAGTTAAATGAGATAAGGACATATAACTGGATGTGGGTGCGCGCCTGTATACGTGCGTGCGTGTGCACGTGTGTGTACATAAGAACACGAAGCGCGAACGTAAAATTCAAGGCTAATGGTGCGTCGAACGAGACAATATATTTCTTCGAACGCCTCGAAGCGAGCTACGCTTCGCAAATTTCTCTAAATGTTCTCTCCTTTGTAACAAAAATGCGTTCCATCATATTATTTCGTTGTGTTGGTTATTGCAATATTAAACCAGCGCGAAACTTTCGACTCTCGATCGTCAGTCGCCGAACACTGTTCGAATCGATCGAA